GATGCTTGCAGGTCCTCCTGTCTCATCAAATATCTCTCTTCCTCTTTAGAGACACAGAGACAATTGCAGCCTGAAACAATTCATCTCCATATCCATCACATTTTAAATACAATAAACCTGGGGGTTTTTTTCCCTTTGCCATTCCCAGCAGCTATGTTTAAAGTGATTCCTTTCTTATCCCACCCTTCCTTTGCAGAAGCACACCCCTGCTCTCTCTGCCTATGGAAATTATTAGTTTCTTTGGAGGAAAAAAAAGACAAAAATGAGTTTTCCCTCCTGCTGCAAGCGCGCAGGCTGGCTTGGGGACCTGCTCAGGTTTTATTGCTTGGTTTCCACATTGCCTGGCCCAGCCGCGTGTGGACTTTCTCAGCGCTGTTCAAATACATTAGCAGGTGCGTTTGTTGAAATAAATGCAAGCTTGATATTAAGTGGATTACTTGCCTAGCCATTTGTCATCGTAAGAAAAGTCGTCACTGAAGGGGATTAGCATAAAGTGCACAAATAACTTTCACCAAGAGGCTTGTTAATCACTTCCTAATTCCTCTCTCTCGCTTAATAGGGGAGGTTGGGTCATTGGGCCAAAATTAAAAGGGAGCTGTCAGGCAGCTGAGGGTTTTAAGAGGCAAATGTCGGAAGCTCGGCTAACAAAAGACCGTTGAGACATCAGCCAGAGTGTTTGCGGCTGAAAACGGGAAATCTTTCTAATGATAGCCCCGTGCCAGAGGCCAACCGTACAGAAACTGTTTCCCAACTTACTGGCTTTGAGCTTCCTACGGAGAGCAGCCACGGCTGTTTGGACAAGCAGGCAGATGTCCCTGTGACAACAGCATGCAGCTGCCAGGCGTTTGGCCCCATGAGAAGCTTCCCAGACAGCATCCAACATCACTTGTGGAAGTGCAGCGGGGCTTATCTATGGTGGAAAGCCATCTGCTGTCTCCCTTGGGTGGGTTCTCACCTGTATGATGCAAAGAAAGCTTTTGGTGCATGGAGAAAGGGTTAGAGCAAATAAAATAATATGGGGCTGGACCCGCTGCCATGGCTCAGGACCCATACCAGCACGAGGACGGGCTCCTGGAGCTTTGGTGACCGTCTCTACAGCATGGGGCTGGCACCCAGACCTGCCCCGGCAGCCCGGCTGAGGGTGGCCCTGCGGGCGCAGCTCTAGGGAGAACATGCTAATTAGTAGCAGAGCTTGCTTGTCCTTTTGAGCTTTGCATTTAGCAGCTTTGGCTGAATGTGTTGTCCATCCGCGAGGCTTCAAATATGCCAGGATTCTTCAGTTTGTTTCTTGTTTACTGGTCAAATCACTGCGTCTCATGTCGGAGGGCTGTGTTGCAGGTTCCTTGGGGAGGCTCCTGTCTTGAATCAGGATTCAAGATGCAGGTTACATTAGGGCAGGCTGAATTAAAAACTTAATAACTAGGAATATGTAATACATAGCCGGGTCCCTGCGTCCTGGCGAGCGGAGGGCAGCGTTGCAGGCAGGCTGGGTGCAGTCCGTGCTGCTCTGCCCCTGTGGTCCTCCAGCTTTGAGGTTGCAGGGTCACTTCTCTACCCTCCTTCTCCATGTAATGGGGTGACTTAATTCAGCTGCCCATGGTGTGTGCTCCCAGGTACCTGCCCAGTAATCAGAGGCATCGTCTGGGTGCCCGGCAGGAGCAGGAGGTCTGAAGTCTTCAAACACTGGTGTGCCAGACAGGCAGCAAATCTGCCACCCAGTGAGGCGTTCAGCACAAGATTTAGTGGTGTATCTAGGCAGCACAAACTCCAACACAAGCATGGCTGACCCCTCATCTTCTCTGTCATGTCCTTCTTGCGTTGACTCTTGCACTTATTAAAAAGGATCTAGGGAAATAACTGGTGGTGCCTGCAGGTGGTTTGTGCTCACTCACAGAAATGATCCTGCTAATAAAGCTGGCAGGGGAATATCGTGCTCAATTTCCAGTTCAAGGGACTGAAGAAGAGTTCGACTGCACCTTGAATTTGAGTAAACATCTGCCAGACAAGGAGAAAGCTTGCGGAGAAGGAGGTGGCAGTTCAGTGCGGTTTATCCTGCAGGACACCTATGCCATTACCATTTGTTTTCTGCAATTGTGGGCTGCAGCAAAGGCAGCGTTGAGGACGGCACAGGGGTGATTTGGATGTTGATGGGGAAAGAAGAACCTAGCACACGCTTCAACCAATATGTCCACCCTTTTGGCTGGTGTGAGGCTCCTTTCCCTTCCTCGTGCAGCTTCTGTTGTGTATCATCTTGCCACAGTGAAACTTTTCTTCATGAGGTACTTGCCCATGGAGAAAAAGTACCGTTCGTGATTTCCTGCAGTTCAACACAAATACGCAGCGAGCTCTGCATATCATGGTCCGTTAATCCCTCTCACCCACATCATGCATAGGACAGTGATCAAAGTCAGGAGGAATAATTTGATTTTAAAAGGGAAACAATAGATTAGTTTCGGTTCAAAGGAATGGATTTCAATTCTGGAAACTAGGATTTGAAGAACAAGGTTCAGTAGTTTTTAGGTTAGCAAAAGAAATGAAATCTGAAATGCTTCAGAGAAGCTGAAGCAGTTGAAAGGATTCAGGCAGGGATAGGTGATTCCCAGTTTGGGTGTGGGAAGTAACGTTGTTTAGCTTGTTGTGAGCTAGGTGCTGGTATCAGAGGTCGGAAATTGCTGCTGCGTGGTAGCTCTGCAGTTCTTGAATTGAACCTTTAATTCTCCTCATTATTAATTCCCTTTTTCTTTCTTTTTTTTTCCTTCAGCATGAAAGGCTTTCCAGGTAAGAATTTTATTTTTTGGAGTTTTTTCTATTTAATATTTACTGACAGCGTATTTTTGTATGGCTTTGGGGATTCTCTGTGCTTCAAACCAACAGCATAAGCTGAAGCTGGTACTGGCCATTTGGTTCTTACCTTAGCTCAACTGGGGGGCCAGTTTGCTTTCATCCTTTGCTCCCCAAATTATTTAACAGCTACTCTGCAGAGAAAAAAACCCCTCTGTGCCCTATTAGAAATGGAGCCCATTCCCAGCATGAAGACGAGAGGTCCATGGGAAATTAGTGTCCATTTGGGGTTTGGGCTGATACCCGCTGGATTTTTTCCAGTTTTTAAAACGGTGGTGGCTGCCTGCCTTCAGCAGCGATGCCCTGCTGCGGGATGGAGGGTGGTCTCAGCTGTCCCAGCGCCTGTGCTCAGCTGGGTCTGCCACGGCCTCGAGTCCCAGCCGGTCAGGCTCATACTGGCTGTCCCAAAGCAACAGCGGCTCCACGGTGCTAGATCTTCGTCGCGTTTTAGGTTGGAAGCAGCTACGAACCCTACCACCAGTGACTCCTCCTACAGTGATCGTGCCTCCAGCCGCTCCAGTGCCTACACCCGGAGGGAGAACCGATTAGCCGCCCTCAGCAGCAGAGCAGAAGAGGAGAGTAACAGGGACTATAAAAAAGTAGGCTTTTTAAAATGTGTCATTGGCACTGCATGCGCCTTAGAAGCTGCCTGTTGCTGCAGAAACCTGCACTGAGAGTCTTTGGAAAGAAAGAGAAAAAGTTTATTTTCATTTTCTCTGTTTCCATTGCTTTTGGAAGTCACACCAGCCTTTTTCAAATGCATCAGCCCTTCAGAGGGTCGAAAAAGGACAAGGGGTGAAAGGGCACCATGCAAGGTCACATATCTGGGAGAGGGGGATTGAGGAGTCAGGCTGGGGAAATGCTGGGAGGGATTTGGAAGGAGCAAGAAAAGATACTGTTGAGCATACCAAGTGGCTCAAGTATGTGTATCCCCACAGAATTATTTTTGCTTCTATAACATTCCAGAATTATTTTTTCTATAATCTCTGAAACTTTCAACATAATCCTTGAAAGGCAGTAATAAGGACTGCCGTGCACGTATAATATCAATGCAAAGACCATATGAAAAGTAAACAGATTAAGATGACCTTAATTCTGAAATTACTGTGATGCTCAAAAGCCTTGCATGGTCAGCAGCATCCCACTCTTCTTCATGAACACGTCTGGCCGGAAGAGGCAGGCAGTATGCCCAGTTTGTCCTCTTAGAGGGATGGAAATTCTGCTTGTTTGAAGGAAGTGAAGGGAAAAAGTCCATTTTGGAGTGGCCTAAAATTGTCCTCCTTTCTTCTCCTCTTCAAACTAAAAGCACACAAGAGCAACTAGGGTGTGTTGTGTTGGGGAGCACAACAGAATTGTAGGTTCAGATACATCCAGCATACACTGCTTAATACTTTATTATGCTTGGCGGTTTACCTAAATTAAAAACATCCCTTTTCTTTGCCTCTTGGCTGTGTTTAAACACCCTACAAAATTAAACAGCTGTTTTCTTATTTCACATGAATTATGAAAACGCAAGTAAAGCATCCAAGCTAGTTCTGTTTGCCCTTCTTCTAATATCCTGACACGGGGGAGCAACACAAACCCCACAGCTGCCTCTGCTCAGTGCTGAGGGCACGCATCTGCTCGGAGTAGTGCAGCAGAACTGGGTCTGTGCGGCGGCCGAAGAGCCGCCGGGTTAATTGAAATATTTTGTTTCCTATTTCAGTTATATGAAAGCGCCCTGTCTGAAAATCAAAAGCTGAAGTCAAAACTGCAAGAAGCCCAACTTGAGTTGGCCGACATCAAATCAAAGTTGGAAAAAGCAGCCCAGGTAAGGCAAAAACCGGCTCCTAGACTGGAGAAACTGAGCACTGGCCCATGACAAGCCAGTGCATGTTCCAGCATGGGAAAGGATTTAGCTCTTGGGAGGGAAGGTGCTACAGAGGAGACTGTTATTTTTCACAGAAATAAGTGTGAGTGATTCTGTAAAGACTACTTCTTCTCTGGGCAAGTGTATCTGTAGGCTATCTAGGCCTTTGTGCAGCATCCTGTGAATGCCTCTCAGTTTTAATAGCTTTCTATTTTTAATTTACGTAGCAGAAACAGGAAAAAACTTCTGACCGGTCCAGCATGCTGGAGATGGAGAAAAGGGTATGTGTCTCTGCTTTCTTCTGAGTCGCAGTCTTTGCCTCGTGTTGCTCTGCAGGGCATAGTAATTTCTTGAAGGAAAGTGTTAATTAAAAGATAAGTTATATTTTTGCCTTGTGGAACAGTGCACAGTGATAATTGTGTTCTGACCTTTTCAGTGTCTTGAGACTTTTCTGCTCTCTTTGCAAATCAGCTTAGTTCTGATTTCTTTCTTTTGTTGTAGGAAGCTGCAGACCAATGAATTGTATTGTTTCGTGCTAAGATTCTGTTGGTCCATTGTGCTTTAAAATATTCTTGATCTTTATAAGTAAAAGACTGTTTTGGGGTGGTGGGGACAACAAGGCAAAACACTAGCTGGGTGTCTGTCTTGTGATTATGCTTGAAATCTGAATGTTTGAATGCTCCTTCCTCTTAATTGAACAGTCAGATTCATTGCAGTAAGCTAAGCTGAACAGGCAGTGTCTGGCTGAATCTCTGCATTAAGTGACCATAGCTTCAGTCAGATTGGAAGGGACCTGAGGAGATCTGCAGTGCATCTCAGCAGAGTCAACCAGGTTAGTCAGGGCTTTGTCCCATCATTTCATGAAGACCTCTGAGTGTTGAGTTTCCACAGCTGCAGCCCCTTCTTCCAGTTCTTAACTATCCTTATAGTGATTTTTTTTTTTCTTATATCTAGCAGAACGTTCCCCGCTTCAGCTGATGGCCATTACTGCTCATTCTCCCACCACGTACCTCAGTGGTTAATTAAAGCTAGCTAGCTAGCTCCAATTTCTCAGTAAGGTCCACTTACATGTTGGAGGGTCGCCTGAAGTGGAGGTTCCTCCTAAAGTGTTTCATCAGAATTTTTAGGAGCTTTGCTGGATGGTCAAACCATGTGTTTAAATTCAATTCCTACCATGAAAGACCTTAATTATTTATGTGTAAACACTTCCCGGGATTTGCCAGATACAGTCCAGAGGAGGTGATGTTCAGGATCCCCACTTTGGACAGAGTTAGGCAAAGCACGTCAGCCCTCAGTACGAGTGTGTGATACACCTACCGGCACAGGTGCCAGGCTTTGACTGTTGAAGTTACCAAGGTTGCTGAAGCTGAGCTCGTGCTCAGGCCGTGGCACTGCCGTGTAAGCTCGGTTGAGCATCTCTGCACCGGTCTGAACCCCGAGACTGAGATTCTCAAAGCATTGATCCATGTGGTCCTGATTCCTAGGTGTGCTGAAAGCAGGCTGAGTGGGGTTATCAAACATGCAAGCATCACTGTCATCTGAGCATAGCTGCTGGGGGAAGTTGTGACACGGGAGGAGCTTTTCTTTTGGAAAAAAAGGAGATTGTGGTGGTCAGAGCACTTGCCCTGAGTAGACATCCCCAGCCAGAGGGAGCTCACACCACGCGTCCCATCTCCCACCCATGCGATGCTTCCAAGCTGGGGCAATGTCCTGCATCGCTTTTGTTGAGTTAGGATTACAACAGCCACAAATACAGAGTTAGAGAGAAAAAAAGTGCCCGACTGTTCTTAGTAAGATGGCGTTAACTGTTTCCAGGAAGGCTTATGCATTTTGCACTGACGAATCCCTGGATGAACTGTGCTGTAGACAAAAAGTGACCCAGAACCCATCATTCACAGCCACACTCAAAAGCTGTGTTTTCCTCACTCTCCTGGCCTCATGTTTCTTTGCAGAGAGCAAAGGAGCGGGGCAGAGAGTGTAAAGCCTGTTCCTGAGCCACGTTTGCCATTTCCTCCTGCTCAGTGTGCTTTCCTGGGGCAGTTTGAGCCCTCTCATGTTGAAAAAGTCATTGATGGAGTCCAGGTCTCTCTAGGCAAGGGCTGTAGCTGTCCACTGAGGGCACCACCAGTACTCGCATGGCAGAGCCTACCTGTGTAATTATCGGTTTCCAAAATATACTGAAAGCAGCCATTTTTACAACTTTGAAGCCCTAAATTAATCTGGGAGAAGCAGAATTTCCAGGCACCTTTCCCTGTTCACTGTTTCTTATTTGACGGGCTTGGTGAGTTTTATCATTACCTCCTTTAGTGGCATGCAGTTAAATCCATGGCTTCTCCTACAGAGCTCAAAATCACATTACATCAGAAAGTCCTGAAAACTGAGATCACTAAACATGGGGGGATAGTTTCGTTGGAGGAGTGTGAAGAGAGCTCAGGATCAAGACATCTGCCGAAACGGGCCCAGCGCATATCGCCTGCTGGTTTACCAGCTACTCTGTCCCATCTGATCAGCTTCTGGTTGTAACCTGTGTGTTACTTTGAGATGCTTTTCAGTGAATGCTCCTACAGAAATTCAAGACTCTTATTTTTCTTTAAAAGAAAATGTGCTGTAAGTTTTTCTTTTAAATCCTTATGACCGTGTTTGTTACGAATCCTTGTAAACAGGAGAAGCGAGCCCTGGAGCGGAAACTCTCTGAAATGGAAGAGGAGATGAAGGTAGGAAATAATCTATTCACTCTGTCTATTCCATTTTTTATGCTTTGTATTAATGTCTTTTGGGATTGTAACCCAGGAGTAGGATATTAAAGGTGTACATGGGAAGGGACTCGTGTTATCTCTGTGTTCCTTTATGCAGTCCTTTATGCAGAACTTACTTAAATGGCCATGTTCTCCAAACATGAAATAGTAATAAAACTCCTATTATCATTCACCTGATTCTACCATGTGTTTAATTTTTTATGCTGTTCGATCCAAGAACTGTGAAAGCTGTTCTCCTTAAATGCTTTCCAAAACTAACCTCTTGTGGCATCAGTGAGTTTCAGTGTGCTGATCCTCTGTGCTCTGTATAGTCTGCAGCCCGAGTTAAGCCGTCGTGGTTCTCTCCAGATGGGTAAGAAGACAAAGCTGGCTTTTGAGATCACGCACACTAGCCAGGAAAAAACACAGAGTGATTGTATTTCTGTACTCTCTTCCTAAAGCATGTTACTGGAAGGCTGTGTCAGTAAGTCAGCCTGGAATAGATTTCAGCAAAGAGGAATTTGCTTCCTGGTGAAATGTGCAGCATGGCTTACTGTCACGAGACATCCGCCACAGACTGCTTCTTCGCGTTCTCCTCTCTCTCGTGGCATTGCTTCGAAGGATGGTTCTTCTCCTGCCGTGGCTTGGATGCCCTGCGAGCACGGGGCTAGTGGGGAGCACTGCAGAGCAGGAAGCAGTGTGTTTTGCCGCCTAAGTACACCTAAAACTTCACACTGATTTTGCAGCGTTACATCATTTTATGCTATATTTTAATGCTCGTATTCACAGAATGCCCCCCTTTGCTCTGTGCCCTGCACTTTCATTCCCTTTGAGCATGACCCAGGTGGGACCAAGCTACTTTAAGAAGGAAGGCCCCCATCTGAGAGCTGTGAGCCCTCCCGGGGCGGTGCACTAATGGAAACGATTTCCTGCCACCCTGGAGGAGGTTCCAACTTTATGTTTCTACTTGAAGCATCATATGTTTACTGAGCGTACATCTTTGAAAGGACCCATTGGCTTGTGTCTTCTACTGCAATAAGTAACAGAATGATTTGGTGGAGTCTTACTGTAAAGGCTCTCTTGTTCTTTCACAGAGGAGAAAATAAGTGTGGATGTGCTAGCCAGAAGGGGAAGGAGAAAGAACTGAACATGCCTAAATTCCAAATGCTTTGTTCACTGAACAGGTAGCAATCTTTAACTCCAGAAATACCCTCCTGTAATTACAGAAATATGGCCTTCAAGAGAAAATGGAGACAGTAGCAGTTTGTGTTATTTCTTCAGCTATGCAGATCACTCTGCAAACCAGCTCAGTCCGTGGAGTAAAAAGACAAATTGGTGTCCTCTAGTGGCCTGTCAGTTTTGAACATTTATATTGGTTTGGAAAGCAATTAATGAAAGAAGTGCCTGTAGGAACTGTTGGACGCAGCCAAAGCACCTCTGGTTTGGGTAGTCCGGAGCTGCAGACTGATGGAAGGCAAGGTGGTGCAAAAGGAGAAGCACTGCTAGAAGTTTGACACGTTCTTATATTGCCCCCAAGCTGCTGGTCACTGCTGCAGACGTGAGCTAAAGGAGCCTGTGGTCTTGCTGAAAATGAGCTATCGGGTCCTCAAGAGTGGTACTTACTCTTTGCTCTGTGCTGCGTTCTTGCTGCATTGAACAACCAAAGTGGCCTTTTGTTAGTAGGATAAATAAACATGAAATTTGAAAATACCTCTTCTGAGGTTCTGCTACGTTTCCACTAGTTTTTGCAAAAACTCGAGCATGTGGCGGGTACCTGTGTGCGCTGTGACATGTCTTTCTTGACAGCCACTCAATGAGTATAAAATCTCTGAAGATAAAAAAGTTGAACTGGACAAGTCCATAAGGAAAGCATTTCTGTGTCTACTTACACCGTGCCTTAAAGCGGGAGAGTCAGCCCAGCTGTGTTTACCTAGTATGAGATAACCTCCGCAGAGCATCTGTGTTAATCCCTGGTGTGGAAGTCGAGCAAGGAAAACAAATCTATTAATTCGGGTTAGACTTTC